TTCGGTGATGAACCTTCGTGTTCCGTATGGCATCTAGTTAGTTAGTTAACTAGTTAGAAACAGCGAAACCAAATCACTGATGTAACAAAAGTGATATTTCTCATATGCTTCCTCCGTGTTTCCAAATCATCTGCTTATAATACTTCGAATCCAGTTCTAACTAAAAAGATGGCTTAGGTAACCCGAAGGTTCATCACCGAATGAACCAAAGCCCTCCACCGGTCTCCGTCCTGCTTTCTTTTCTTGTAAAGTACAGTCGGCTACAAATGGCATGAGTAGCAAAACCACCCAGAGCAATGTCGACTGTTTATTGGTCAATGATTTAAACGACGACATACCAACTGCAGAGTTTGTAAACAGCTGCTCATGACTTGAACAAAGGTATCAGAATTTCTTACGTGTGATCTGAAGGACGTCGTTAGTTAAGTTGACAGCCGATGTGGTCCGTCAGTTGCTCCTTTGTTTTGCAGTGGACACATTAACAGCCCCTACTCCGGCTCTGGACATCCGGCGTGCTTCTACGCCGGCGGTTTGCTGGACGAGTTCCTCAGGTTCCTGCGACTGGCCCGCCATTCGCCAACCGACTTGGGGGTAGCGATGCTTAACCCAAGTGATGAGAACGAAGTCGCGAATCTGTATGCTCTGTGCTCAATGTTCACGAACCACTTCAAGAAAAGAACTGAGAAATTCAAAAGCGATTATTCCATCTCTGAGGCAAGTGTCATTGACCTGTGCCATGGCTTCATGAAGTTGGAACACAGGATGAACCCACATGAACAGGCGGTGACGGCCAATGGAACGGAATGCCACGTCAAGGCTCACTATGGGTAAGGAGGGGCACATTACTTTGTGGCCGCGCAATAGGGAAATCCTTTTATCAGCTAAGAACACGCCATATTCATTTTCCACTGCGAATTAGCAAAACTGTGGGTCACCACACAAGCAAGGGGTGGGCCGAAGTAAGGGGTGCATACGGAATTTTGGCAGGGAATCTTTCTGGAAAAAGACCACTGTGCAGACCAGGAAGAAGATGGGAGGATTATATCAAGATGGACGAAGTTGGCGCAGGATCGTGGCCGGTGGCGGGCTTTGGTGTTGTCGGCGTTGGACCTGCGAGTTGTTCTACCAGGAAGTTGAGTTAGTCTGTCGGTCTCCAGAAGGCGCAGTGGTTGTGTGTTCTCCACGCTCGCGCGATTGTATTCGTACGCTTTCAGTTTGGAATGGTTTTGCAAAATAGTTTTGAGAAGGCCTCGTTTAAGTGTCAGGTCCAGTGGCGAAGTCAGAATATTGAAGTTACTCAGAGTCGCTCCGCTACAAAACTGGAGCCCCTAAAAGGTCTGAGGTATTCTTACGATATGTTTTTGATGCTTGGTACCATCTTCTGTGTTCAAAGCGAGAGGAAAGCACGGAAGGAAGTCTTACATGTTTTACAGTAAAAATGCGTCTTTCTCGCCGTGCTATAAATTATTGTTCAACTTGAAACTGATGCCGTCAGTCACAGCGACTTGTTTAGTTAGAGTAATCCGGAAACTTAGCAAGGAGTCTTGATCGCAAATTACGTAAACGCACTTTACTAAAAACCCACGTTTATCCCAACCGCACGCCATCGTCTGTTCACTTCCCTGAACCGAGCAATTTTGCTGTTTCTTCTGAATCATCTTTTTCGTTGCTGAGAGTGAATTTGCGTTTTCAAGAAGAAATATCAAATCTGAACCCGGAGACGGTTATCTTGATCGAGGTTTTCCTCGCTAACTTTCTCGTGAGACCCCGTAAAAGCGCCACCTCCATGAACGACGGTCCACTGTTTTATGACTTTTGTTTCTTCGTTCGAAGAATCCCAGTCGATTGCTGACAGGCATAAAGCACAGCACTTCAACAAGAACAAATGATAAGTTATTGGCAGCGCGTTCCTTTACGTACGTCTGTCTGTCGTACGTGATGTTCCGGAAAAAAGAAAAGCTATGTTTGTGTCCGCGTCGAAAACCGTGCGAGGTAGCCGGTTGTCAAAATGGGTCGCTGCCCAGCCACACCCCCTCAGTTTAAGAGCCCCCCACTGGACGATAAATTCGAAATTCTTTAACGGGTACTTCATTTTTTAAACCTGTTCTCCGAATGGAATTTGGAACATTTGTCATATCAAGAATGTGTTGGAGTGAATCGTTGTTCTTGAACTTTTATGTTCGACATCCGCTGGAAGTCTTCGGGTATTTTACAACGCCTTATCAGGTTATGAGGTTCTGTAATCTTGAATAGCGTACGGTGATTTTCTGGGCTTGACACGGTATGATAACCCACTGTCCTCAGGAGTGCAGATGTCAGAGTGTGGTTACATACAATCACAACATTTGTCGTTTCAAAATTCTTTGAATACAAGTAAGACCTCGGACCAACGGACCGCTGACTCATGCATGGCCTGAGCTTGATTGTCGCAAAATATACAAACAGACAAAGAAATTTCGGTGGAATACAGAAATCTGGATAGGGGAGTCTGAGGGAAAGTAGCAGAGCACATCGCGCCTTCGTCCACCTTGACGTTTTCGTGTGACGTAGACGAAGGTCGCTGGAATTTTGCACCCAGTTCAATTCCCTGCAACTAACACGGCACAATCGTTTAATCTGTGTTTATGTTTCTTACAGGATGCCTTACACGTGGTTGAATTGCCTGCCTTCATCTCATGCTCAACCTAATCAGAGGAGCGAAGAGCCGAGGCCGATATATCTGCGCATGCGCCAACCAATCAATGGCAGGAACCATTTCTTCCTGGAGAAAGTTCACCACGGAAAAGAACTGCTACTTCGGAAAGGACCCTATATATTAATATTAAAATACATTGTACCCTCTGTTTACAACGCGTTTCATCAGAAATATGGCTATTTATTTTTTTATGGAATCATGGATCGGTCTGAAGGCCACTTCAATTTCGACATGAAAAAATCTTCAACCGTTCAGCTTTTCGATTATTTTAATCTGGAATTCTTTACTTCACATAACGAAACTAATTCTTCTGACTGCGTAGTTAATGTTCCAGAATCTTCTAACATAGACCTGAATATTGACATGGAACTTCACTCACCGTTAAGAATGGCACCAATAAGATTTTCTGATAACTCTCTAGCATATATTTCGACGTCCCGTGTAGACGTTAACGGTTATCGCCGGATCAACTTCAGGTGAATCATGGAACCAAATTCCTTTTCAAAATTTCTATAAATTGCTCCCCGTCTCTTGCAAACGGCCGAACTTCTACGTTTCAACATTTTACAAGCTCTAGCAAAAATGATTAATACACAAGATGGCTGTCTTCTAGGTTGTTGCAGGTCACACGTGTGATACTCAACTTTGTCGTTAATACTTTCGTCTGTTCTTCCATGCCGGGCCATCCTTACTGCGGGAACAGCCGCACTAGGTCCCACACATCGACAATACGATGTGTGGAAGACGTCTTGCACGGCGTCGTCTTAATCGCCCAAGAAGTAAAATTGTAACTCAGAAATAAAAAAATTGCACAGTCGAGAACACGTGTCTGTATCCTGTGAATGCTCCCTTGTTAAAGAACAGATCTGAGCAAAGGTCTGCATTTCCTTAGATATTATGGATCTGGTATTAAAAGAACATACTTCAGCACCGAAGATGTAGAAAGTACGTTTCACCAAAACATCGGCACCCACCGATGAGTCTACCCAGCACCAAACCTCAGAAAAGCATCTACATAACTGAGATAACCTCAAATCACGTGCCTTCACTTCTCAGAATGTCCTGTTCTTCATATGAATCCGTAAAATACCCACAATGTATATACGCAAACCTACTACATTTCCTTGTCCATGTCACACAAAGCGAAATTAGGACGCACCTGATCGAATGACGGTCTGAAGACACCCAGCTTTGAGAAACACGCCATACCTCCCATTCCAGGGTGTCTAATTCTAAAGTGAAGACACACTTGGCCAATCGACATTTCCTTGAGGCTAACAAGTTCAGTCATCAATGCTGCCAACGTCTCACGGCGTTCTTTATTTCTTTGCTGCCTCGAAACACAACGAAACATAACCTCAACTGAAAAATTACATATCTCGACATACGTTCCAGTGTCTTTCTCAATAACCGAATGACAACAGAAGAAGTTCACTCTTCACTTCGAGTTCCTTACTGCAATGGGTTTTCCTTAATATCCAATGAAAAGACTTTTGACGTAAATACGTCTATAATGAAGGGTCATTCGACAAAAAAGTTGAACGAAAAAGTGTAACAAGTGTACCTAGGGAACGTCGTGTTTACTCGGCATTTTTGTTACCTAGGAAACATGTCATTACATTACATTACATTCAGCTACCACAGACCCATTTTAAGCGTAACTAATTCAAGTTAAATAAGCAAAGTCTTAATCAGTTATTTAACATCGTGTAATAAGAGAACGTTATCTCCTTCGGTAAAATTGAAAGACTTCGACCTAAATCGTTCCTTCGTTGGCTTTTTCAAGGCGGACTACGTACTGCGAGGTAGACCCACTATGAAACCCGTCGTTCAGAGTAGGCGACCGGTTTAAATCGGCCACGTCCAGAAGCATTGCCGAATTTAGAATCCAGCGATCTGTGTGTCAGCATCCACTTCAAAACGCAAAAATGCAGAAGATGATTAAATTTCCTTCGAACGAAGTCTTGGAATCTGGAGCTGAGTTTTCCTGTCTGAGTCCGAACTTGAGCTGCAAATCTTTTTGCATGCGAAGATGCAAATGCAGGGCTTTCATTTGTATTTTGATGACGTGTCTTTCTAAGCATCGAAACTGTGTCCGAATTATCAACTGCATGGCTTTTATAAGCGACGTGATCAGATGGCTCTTAGTTCGACTTCTCTTCTAGGTCCCAATTCCTTTCTGTTTCAGGGGTGTACAATAGCCATTTCTCGCACCGATGCATTTTCACTGCTTAAAAGGCGAGTTCTGGCAGAACATTCCAGGAATCCGAAAAAATCCAAGGCCACGTCGTTAATTCTTGAAGGAACTTTGATTTGTATTGACTTGTAATTCAAAAATCACGGTCACATGTAGTCTACACGTTCTAACAAACATACTCTGTCCATTTCTCATAAAAAACTGTACATTCAGAATCCAGTTTACGTTTTTATTTTGTTTTTAACGAAGACATTGCACAAGTTGCACTTGTTTAATTTATCCTAGTTTCATTTAACTCGTGCATACTTTTCCAAGCTCCTTAGCCCCAAATGTTCTCTTCGGCACTCCGCCCTCAGACATCCTCGACGGAGTTCCTTCACAATAGGAAAGACCGCGTTCTTCTGCATTTGGATCTCGTGGTTCTCAGATCGGAACCACGAAAACAATTAAAATCTCAGACGCTAGATTTGGGCTGTTTTCATCAGGGTGATAAATCACCCTGACGATGGAGGCAGCAAGGGCCTCTGGAACGTTGGTGATATTCTACCGTTCCCCAGGGCGCTATAACCCAGAAGACAGCATTCTTCAGACTCACTGCCGTGAGAACCTGGAAGCCTTCAACAGATCCACGACTGGCTATCGTCCTGAGCGACCTCACTCCTTGCGATTTAGTTTTGTAAGATCAGCGTCAAACTGTCGCACCGATCTCTTCATCTGGATGAACTCCACCAAAACTGGAGTGGATGTTACTGCATCCATGATCCTCCCTCCCCCCACCACGAAACGAGAATCAGCTTACGGGAACACAACAATTGGGTTTAAGGTTCCAAAATAAAACCGAGGTACATCTTCACTACATGAGTACTTCTCAGGTGCCCAATAAGTTTTGTCGGTGGGATTATGGATACAATTATAAAATACTTTCGTTCCTGCATGGATACTCATGATTCAGTGTCCTCGCTGTCCTTGCCACTGTCTCGACGTTGTCCTGCGTCCCCTGACGTCCCATATCGGGTGTTTCGTGTGGCACTCCATTGCTCCGTACGCGGTTGTAATAATAGAAATGGCACTTATGTGTCACAATGGCGCGCGTTCGGTAAGAGACGGCAGGGACTGAGAGCCTAGCGGCATTTAAGTGAAACTGAACGCAAACTGCACTCGTCGCTCGATCCGAAAATGTCGGTGTGTCGAAAGCGAGAACTGACTTACCCGGTGAGCGATTAAATGCGAGCGGTGCGAGTTGCGTGGGTGAAGCGGAAATATCGAACTGGCTGTTTGTGTGGCGCTGTCCTAGGTTACAGCGAAGCGGTCGGCGGCCAAAGCCGAGATCAAATATTTTGATATTTCCGCGCAGGTCGCTGCGCCGGCCAGTAAGGCGCATGCGCAAGGAATCTCTGACTGTGCAGTACAGGGAAGGCGCATGCGCAGGAAGGCCGTGTGTTTCTCTCAAGTAGGACACAACAAGCGACTCTCTTATGTCATATGACACCCCATGCTGCTTATGCAGCTCGCACAGCTCGCTTCTTATCGCTCACGCAAGACATTGCCTTAGAGGCAGACGATAAATATTAAATACACCAAGAAGGTCACGCCAGACACTTATGCGTGTAATGTATCAGTAAACATGACGAACAATGAAGGTCAAACTTTAGAGCTTATCGGGCGTAACCGAGGCAAACCACCTTAACTTCACTCAACAAGGCAATAAGAAGCAGACTGCCGGAAAGCGAAAATTATGGAAATTTTAAGGAGCCGCCTAACAAAGTCCATGGAAAACAGTCCTTCGTGAAGGGCGAACGTAGTCAAGAAATTCTCATCTTTTCCCTGAATCCGAAGGTTCGTCACCGTGTTCACAAGATCCCGCCACCTCTGGGTGCTCGTCCATACATGCAGCTCTATATTTGCAATATCTATTTTAATATTATCCCATTATCTTTCTCAAATCATTGGTTTTCAAAGGATGGACCGAGATGTACTTAACCTTTGTTCGTTTCACTTCGCTGGATATGTGGAAGTTTCTGTCACACTTTTATCCAAGAATTGAAAATAGACCGTAAACATCTTTACGCATCTTACGACCGGAAACTAGGTTATAATAAAATATTTTGACAGACCCCCGTGATAATTTGGGGGGTGCATCAACCACCCCCCTTATGCATCTGATATGATCGGCGTGCCTACCAGTTCAAAAAGACAACAAGCAAACAAACTGCGCAGCAGACAGCAGAAGAAATGTCTCTACCACCGCTGACATCCGGTTCGAATCTCTGGCTGGACTGCAGAAAACCACGTGACTCACTTGGCGGCAAAATCACAGATATAAAGAGCAGAAACACGATCATATTCAAGGTCACACGATCATTGTCGGTTCCGGTTCTGGTCGTCTCACAATCAGTTCCGAAGCCTTCGACTATACCGGGTGTTCCACAAGTGATACCGATGCTTACAAATGTTCAGGCGTCCCAGAATTATTTTTATATTAACATTCCAGTGCGTTGTTTTGTATTGTGTTGTGACAAGGATCTTGAAAACACTGCAATCATCAGGTCCGAGTTCGAACTCAGACTTCGACCACCCATCGAGGACGAATTTGGGATTTTATTGTTTATATCCTGAACCAATAAACGATTTCCAAAGAAACTGTTTGCGAGGGTCATATTTGGACTGTTGCAGAGGAGGCCTTGTACTTATCGCTCAGCTGGTCATCCAAGAACTCACACACACAAGAAGTTCAGAAATTCTTGAAACTCAATAATTTGACAGGCCATTGCAGTATTTCACCCAGAGCAGTCCGGAATAACATCAACTGGATTTCTGCAAAAAATTGGCGCATTTGGCATTGGGTCACAACGAAACCCTGAGCGCAAAGTTGGACCTCCAGAGCTGAAAACAACCAGTCTCATGAGAATATTGAATTTAAATAGTCCACCATTCCGGAAACACGCTGAAAAAAGGAACCGATAATCTTATAAAATCCGCTTTTCGGCAGAGAGGGAGAAATTGGCACGTCTTGGTAGAATTAACCTGACTTGATTTTCCGAAAAACAGTGTTAGCAAACATCCAAGGGGAACGGTTATTTATATTTTTGCGCCTGATGTTACGTGACACTTCCCTCTACTTTCTTGAAGTCTGTAACTAGCGGTCGCCCTGATGAAGGATGAAGTAAGGACCTCCGAAACGTCTCAAACTTTTACCACAATCAAGAAGACAGCCGTCTTCGAAATAGAATCGATTCAGAAGTGGCCATGGCCTATACTGAGAAATTCCCTCGCGTCTGGCTTTGGTCTGCAGCCTCGGTTGCGGCAAGCAACAACAAAATGAAAGGTGAAATGCTTCAGCTCCTCGGCGCAGTCTGCATTATACCGTCGCGTAAGAGACTCGCTCCTAGCCTTCCCCTTGAAAATTCCACCGGCTAAATACCACTGCGCCGACTATATAAGAGCGGCTGGAGACTTACCGGCTCTCACTGTACTGGCTGTGAATGCGCATGCGCGATTTGACAAGACAGCGTCAACTTATACCTGCGAGTTTTCACCGAAGGCCGCAAATCAGCAGTTAATGGGTTATTCACAAACTCCAAAATAAGATTCTAGCGGGCGCTGGTACAGTAAAACCTTTCCAACT